AGTTCGGCCATTTCTGTGACTGGGACTCCCAGAAGATTAGCTCTGTGTGCTTGCCTGCTTCCACCATTGGCATCATCGGTTGTTCGCCAATGTATTCCTCTAATTCGTCTTGGCTTCGGTCGATCCGGTACAACGCATACATCTCCTGCAGCTGCTCGCTCACTTCGATATCGACATCCGCGCGATCCTTGAACGTCGACCAGGTATCCCGGACAATTTGCTGGCTATACTCCTGCCATTCCCTTTCCCAGCCGCTCTTAGCCCACCAGACAAACTTCAGGCTAGGATCCATTGCAGTGGCGCACGCATAAACGTTGGATGTGTCAGTCTTGCCGTAATACTTTCGCAGCTTAACGAGACCGACTTCCGCTGCTTCGCACAGGTCGATGGGTGTGGATGGGCTGGTCTTATAGTCCTCAAGCCTGTCCATCAGATGGTTATAGCAAAGGATGGTGAGGTTGATGGTGGCATGCGACTTGCTGGCTGACAACCTCTTGGTCACTTTCTCGAACGGCTCAAGGAGAGCATGGATCTGCTTCAGGCGCTCCCATTCTTGTGCAGTCAACCTATACTGTGCCAGCGCCTCAGTGCACATTGCGTTGTAGCCAGCCTCGACCGCGATAGCCCGCGTGATCATTTCAAACGTCGAATTTCAACGAGTACGGACATCAGGAATGAGCTTGAGTTTGGGACAGCCTTCGTTGTTCAAGGTACGCAGGAACTTCTGTAAGCGTTGCGGTGACGATCTAAGGTAATAGATCAAAACCTGTTAATCACTTGAAAAATAGTTTAATGCTTAATTAACTGATGACTACCTTATCTTGGTAACGCCTCTTCGTAGTTTGACCAGCACATTAGAGTTGGTAGGCATTTGTTCTTCGTCGTCGTCAACGATTTCTTCTTCTGGTGCCTGTGCTGAAAGACCAACTCGCAGGATATCCTGAACTGCCAAGTTAAGGACGTGTCCAACACAAGGGATATGATGGATGTCTTTGCAGAATGGCCTTGGTTTTATAAGTTGTTGGTGAGCACATAGTTTTTTATGAGTATCTTGGCAAAGCAGCATAATCCCAGTAACTTACCAATCTTTCTCTTTCGCGCGTCGTTCGATTACGGTCATCATCTTGGTCATATTCGATGCGTTGTCACTCGTAATTGTGAAAAGCCTCGAACAAAGATCGAACTCATCTAAGACTTTCAAGAAGGCGTCGGCAAGGTTCTCTCCAGTATGTGGACCTTCCAAAGGCTGGAACCCTAGGCGAACTTCTTGCAGAGTCCACGTCGATCTGCACATCCAGTGTGCTGTCACACCAAGAAATTCTTGCCGGAATGGGCTGGTCCAGCTGTCGACGGTGCAAGAAATTTTTGGCACGCTCTTGAGCAAGGCGGCGGTTTGTTCTTTGGCTCTGACGTATTCTTCGTCCAGCTATTTCAGTGAAAGTTAAGTATATGTCTGAATCCTTGTTTAACAAAACATGAAACGAAGTTTACCTTTCTCGACATACTGTCAGCATTCAAAAGCTTGACGGATTCTTGCGTAGGTGCTGATTGTGCCATGTAGAACAACTCCTGCAATTCTTCGCTTTCGGCCAAAGTAAATGGGAGCTTGCTCTTGACCAAAAATTTGACGAATTATCGTTGGAAGGCGCCCTTTTCAAACGTACGCTTACGCTTAAATTCGACATGCTGGTCCATTGGGCCGGCTTGGCGCTTGTTCCCCTGAACGTGCGGACCAGTTGTTTGCGTGATTCGATGGACATTCTTCAGGTGCTTCACAAGCCCAGACGTATTACCTTGCTTTGCGTCGTACACCTTGTTGCAACCAGGCCGCTGGCACTTGATTTTCGGTTGACCGTTGATAGAGACGCGTTTGCCGTATTCATGAGTGAGAACCCAGCTGCTTACTGACTGCTTTTCTTTACCGCTCGTGTCAATGTTCGCGCCGTCACCGGCAAGCTGTGTGATTTCTTGGTGGTCGATCATGGAAGCGGAATCATCGAAGCACTCTTCATCAGTGTCCATTACATGCGAACCGACTGACGCCATGGAGACGTTGGATTGATCACGGGCTAGGGAAGGAGGAACAAAACTTGATAACGAACGACTTGTGTTGGATAAGGACGAATTACGGCTGGACTCTCTCTATAAAATGGTACTATCATCAGCTGGTTGCAGGTGATATTGCATATGATGGAGTATCCTAGATTAATCTTACGCGATCAGAAAGAGCACCACGAGCGTCGTCAGAGCTGGAGCCAACTGAGTAGTTTAGGTAGGTCATTGCGTTGGATGTGATATAAAAAGGTACGGATATAGAGTAGAATGGTTCAAGCTGTATGTAAGTAAATAGTTGAGTTATTTTGCCCAAAAATAAAGTTGTTGCTTTTATACTTTCCATGACGCGTTGAGGATAATGATACCAAACGGCAGCTTCTCTTCAAATAGTGCTAAGTAATACCTCGCCTGTCATTTCCGTAAAAGGAAGTTTGTAGAAGTCAGCAGCATGCTGAGCTGTACCACTGCTGAGTGCGCGATTTTTGCTTTCAGTGTTCTTCCTTTAATCGTTCGTGTCCATTCGTTACTAGCAGTATAAGTATAATTAGCACTGCTGAGCACGCAGCGTTTAATGCTGCGAACCAAACCAAAGGCACGTCAAAATTCTCTTCTCAGCAATCTGTACACACGTCATTACACAATTGATACAGCAATCTTTTTTCCGGCATTCTCTGAAATTCCCCCACCAGATCAGCAATTAGAACACATTTCATACTTTAATTCAACAATCAACCACGCACGGTCATACTGTATATCCACAATTGAAATAAAACACATTTTCTATTCACAAATTTCGCTATGCACTACAATAATTACGCCTTCCCTTCGATTCACGCGATTATCATTGTAATCTTGTGTAATTCCATCCCTCTTGAAATTGCAGTTGAAGAACTCGGTTCTAATCTCGGTTCTCGGGTCGGTTCTCGGGCCGGGTCGAGTCAGTTCTGATGTACATTGTGCTCGGGACGGTTTTGGCAGAGAACCGTCCCGGCCCGGCCCGTGAGGACCCTTAGACTGAAAAGGAATTGAGAAAAGAAAAACGAAGGGTAGAAGGATAAAGTGATAAGCAAAGGGAAAAGGAAAAGGATTAGGGGCATATAGGGAAGTCGATTTTCAACCACACTTTAACCATAATGCTTTCTTTACAGTAATACATGTGAGCCCAAGCGAATTCTTTTGTGATGGTACAAAACCCTTTACCTTTAAAAGTAGATGTTGCTAGCACTGCCAGGAATTTGCATGCCATCATCTTGGAGCTAATATATATATATATATATAGAGTTTTGCACTTCGAGTACTCAAGTTCAGATTGATTGACACTTCCTTCATCATCATACAGAATTCAGTCTTGACCCGATAACCTGAGTTTTGACCCGTCAGGTTGAATAGGTGAGGTCGGGTCAGTGTTTTTTTGACCTGTGGGTCAACTGGTTAGACCCTTGACCCAACCGAACCTGTCCAATTACGGCCCCTAGTATTACATTAGTACTATTATTCACAGTTTAGTAGAATATATGCATAACAGCATATGTAAATGCTTGCTCTTAAGGTATACCATATGTATAAAGCAAAACATCGGCAAACTAGTAAAAAGAAGACAAGAAAGAGGTAGTTTATTCAACATGTTTGATATCTCTATGACCTCCGGAAGTTTAATTTTGTAAATAAACTTTTAGTACATACTATGCATTCATACAGCAAAGGAGTACCAAATGTACAGTGTTTGAAATTAAAATGTTGTTATAAAACTATAGCTTTCTGATTCTAAAACACTTAATTATGTTGCTCTAGCATCACTGGTTGAAAAGATATAACGATTTCTAAAGTAGTATCAAAGCTCCTATGAAAGCTATGATAGAGCTCTATCAAATTACACTAACTTTTAGGCAGAAAGGTTGGTGGACCACCCTAAGGAGATATAGGGGAGAGGTTGTTGAAAAGCAAAACTCTACCCCTTGCCAGCATATAACTACATATAAGCTTTTAGACCAAACCTCACTCAAATGTGGTCAAACAAATTCACTTGCAATAGCAGAACTGGTCTTCAACGTGGCTATCTATAGTTGAAAATCACTGCATCTATAACCTTTACCTCTACATATCTTGTTGTTGCTATAGCAGAACTGGTCTTTAACGTGGCCATCTATAGCTTAACCTCCATTTATCAACTACCTCTACTTCTCTACATATATAAACATTAATTGGTAGAAATACTAAAGAGTTCTCCAATGTATCGTACAAGTCAAGGCTCTTCTAGTAGTAGTGGGCAACGTTCTAATACACCTCCGCGACAATATATTAGACCAACCTGCCCTATTCGCTCATGTAAGCTCATAATTTTATATCCTTAAAAAAAGGCACAACTCTACTTTTAATTTCAAGAAAGTATTCAAACTAAATATTACTCTATAGTCCTTACACGTAGACCAGTATCTGATAGTACATTTGATAGCAATATCAATGTAGCCTACAGCCAAGTAATAAGTGCTACTCCATCTACTGGGATGATAAGGCGTTTACCTAATAATCTTTACCAATCGATAAGAGAACACAGGAATGAAGAACGTCTTGGTGATGAACGACCTAGTAAGTTTAACTTATACCTTCTATATATTTAAGGGTTTTAATATATGTTCCTACATAATGTTTCTATTAGGTCAACGCCGCTGTTTAGGGTCTGAGACATCATTACAGGCTCAACCCATCCTTGAAAGACAATCATCAACACACTCATTAGACATAGGAATAGATAATATTACTATTTCTAGCCAAAATGAGAATACAGCACATCCGTCACAGCATTCACTACCACTAGTTGTAGACCCATTTGGTAAAAACCACTATTTAATCAAAGATATAATCGGATTAGCATATTTACTAATACTAATAGCTCATTTGTCTTATTGTTGGTAGCTTTTGATTTTGCTGCAGATACCATATGATTTATGAGACCACTAGGTGGTCAATTTGTTACTATTTATGGTGATAATTTAGACAGTTAGTATTGACCAATGATCTAAAACTGAATGTAGTATACTCTAAGACATCTCTAACGTTTTTGTTTTATTCAGATTCTCACTCGAGTAGCGACTCCAATTCTCATAGTTCTGGTAGTGGCTCTAGTAGCAGCAGCTCACTAAGCTCAAATTCTGATTCCGAGTCAGATAGTGATTCAGACTATATCTTTAGTAGTACTGATGAAGATAGTGATGAATCTGAAGAAAATGAGTTAGAAGATGAAGAAGCAACTACTGTTATTCGTAACTCGATGTATCGGTATCAACCAGAAAATCTACGCATGCAGTTCCAAGAGCGAATTTTAGACATAAAAAACTGTACGTTATTATATATTATATTATGCTGTCATTAATAGATATATTATACTAATATATATAGCTATTAATTCTATAGTAAACCAGGTTGTAACGTTCAATACATTTGTTCTACTATGCCAAGGGCTCGATGAATATGCACTCCTAGAGGCAATGTTTGCAGGCATTGTTGTTGAAGATGAGGACAACCTACTGGTTGCTGTTAAACCATCTAATAGCCGCCAAGTAGACCTGAATTTCTATTATGATATTGACTCAATGGATTTCCAGACAAAAATAATACCTGCAGCCGGTCCATTTTCAATAACCCTTCGTCCGCATAAATACAAGATTAAATAAACAATGAGTTACATTATTAACTAAGGGTCTCGACGTGGAAAATCCATTCCTTTAAACAAAGTTCCATACCTATTACTTGGTCAGTTTGGATACAATAATAGGTTCAAGGTATAGTAAAATGTTTTACAACATCTTATATTTCTATCAATAGTGAATGTAGATAATAATATCAATATTATGTAGACCTCAATCCACTTTCCAAGACTATATGGTGATAATATGTCATTGACATCTAGTAAAGAGATTACTACAGAGGTTATCTCAGACTTTGTAGACCTTGTTCTCTGTCCTGCGATGTACCAATGCTTACCTGCATTCATTTGTAATAACTTTGGTATCTCATATCATACTGATGGGTATAGGCTGCAGAATTCTAGAGGTCATCATAATCTGTATGGCACATATATCCCTCCAGTGTATTGCCAGCAATTATGTGAGACTATGAGGTCGATTACTAGTAGTAGCCAAGATCAGAGGGTAGCTCGGTTTCAAGGCTTTTTCTTTTATACCAAAGGAATAGGGTTAAAGCATCCATATGAAGACCTTCACTTGGACCTTGGCAGTTCATTTTTGGATATTAATTGGTATACAGTTAATCCTCGGGACTCAACGATTGACTTAGGGTTCGAGTTTCATCCAGTATCACATACCCCTTTAGTTGGGTTATGGAGTGCTACTGGTAGTGACCGTGCATTCGGTGGTCATGCAGACTTCATACGGCGCTTCCTCGGAGATGTTACATTGACAAAAAGTAACTATAGGCATGACCCTTTTTCAAATTGGAAGTCTCTATCAGGCTTTCAATATACTGTAAAAGGACAGTCTTTGCCACAAGAACAGTCAATGTAAGGCATAAAAAAAATTGTTGCATACCACAAGATAAAGCAACCATTTTACAACCCTGGACAAGATAACTACCGCTTTGGAAAAGATTACAAACCAGAGCTGCTCATTAATGCGGGGCAACCCTTTAGAGCTTATAAGGTATTATTATTATGATTATTAGAATATAATTACATTGAATGTATATACTTAAATAACTTAAATCATTCTAATTAGCGCTTTATCCAAGATTCATGTATCGGAATTAGCAACCGAAATTGGGGTGCTCGGTTAGAGCTTCACATGTCTACTGCAAGTGCATTAGTAAATATTGATGCAGTGCATCATCGTGTCTGGTATGTTATACTTGTATATCTATTATGTATACTTATTGGCAAAGAATAATTGATTCTTACTAAATTATATGTATTTGTAGGGAATGCCGCCAATATCTACACTGGGAAACATCTAATGACATTGCTTCCTACTGGAGCATGTATATGGATGCTATTGAGTATGCAATCAATAGTCTTCAGATTCAATGTGATCTAAAGTATCGCGTAGATCGGCTCTCTGCATATCCAATAATGGCCTACTTGGTCTCCTCTCTATTTTCTCGTCCACCCCATCATTCAAAATGGGATTTGACAAAAAGTATAGTTGAAAAGTTTGCATGCCCTGTATCAAACCTGCTCTTTATGGTAGATATCTGGACTACTAGCTTTCATAGGGATCTATACATAGAACATCCATTCAACTTGGAGTACTTTGCGGCTATACTTGATACACAAACATGGATAGAGGTCCATTCAGGTCATCGTGCAATAGAGAGATTAGAAACTTCTCTTTTACCAACAACCACTCCTCTACTAATAGAGGATCATACCTTTCATCTACGGCCAGTAGCTATCAACAGACACTACTTTGATCAGTACCTCAATAATATGGCCTTTATTACATCAGTGCTTGATTATATTCGAGATGGTATTACTGATGATACGATAACATACCTACGGAATGAACTTGTAAAGGAAATGTGGGCCAAACTAAGTAAACAAGATGGTACGCGCCGGCGATCCAATCAAGATAGCACCCCTGTTACTTATACTAGCCGTTTTAAAAGCCCTCGATACATGCATAATCGGTTGACGTTCGAACACTTTTGTGGGGAATATTCCGATGTATTTAGCGTAAGCAATAATTCTTTAAATTTACTGTGAATATATAGATATACTAACAATAACAAAAATGACTCTAAAATAGGAGAATGGGGTTAAACCTAGTAGGGCAACCACACTTCCATCTGATGCTATACTAAACATATATCCACCTCCAACGGATATTAATGTTGTGGCGTATACACAAATTAAAAAAGGGCCATACTCAAACTTTGCATCCCGAGCCGCATATATTATCATTACACGCCACCTTTTGGAGAATAATAGAGGTGCAGATGCAGATGCATTTGCACATAAACTATATACATCACTCGATGGTGTCAGATTCCTCCCTACAATCGCAAAATCACAATTTGCAAAGGTGGAAAATAATGAGCTAGTACTGCGGTTATTTTCAAGTGAGCCAGTACAGTAAGTAGCTCCATTATCAGATCTGAATGATTCTTTGGATGACCAATCTCAATCTATTGTGATGCCCGCATATCAAACACATGTTTTGGTCCGTAGTTTAGTCGGAATCAATATTCCAGTGCGCCGTTTTTAAGACGATTACATATTACTTATCAAAAATTACCCTCTATACTGATTGTACTCTACTTGTCATACCCTTTACTAAATTTTCACATTACCTTATCATCCTAGAATCATTTTCGGCGTGGCGACGAAGTCGCCACAGCGAAAATGAGTGACCCCGATGACCCCGACATTTCAATTCAAGTGGCGACGAATGACCCCGGACTGACCCCGGGATTTAGCCAATCAAATTACCAGAACGTGATGAGCAAGACAGCAAAATAGCAGGAGAACCAGCTCCTCTTTTTTTTACTTTTTTTTGTTCTTCTATAGCACAACACTCGCTTGCTGCCTGTTTTTTTAATATATATTAAAGCAAGGACGCTTACAAAAAAAAGGTATCTTATTCAAGGGATGTTCATTTGCTGGAAGAATCGTGGCTTTGTAATGGTCAATGGTCTACTGTCTTTTATTACTAGCAATTGCTGAAACTATAGACATTTGACGAGTGCGGCAACGTACTCCAGCAGCGACAGCAGCACTACAGCAAGCCTTACAACAAACGGAAGCTATGGCACGCCATAATAATAACGGTCAAAGTTAATTACAATCGCAAATGACTTGCATGCATTGCGGCACCACTACAACATCAAAGCAGCAAACCTTGCACCAGCCTGCACAGTACAGGCCGCATATACTCGACGTTTTCACCTTGTTATTTGCAACCTCGTATACCGTAAAAAAGAAAAGCCATTAACTTTCTACAAGGGGCATCAGCCATGGCGGTACGTGTCTATTCTTTTTATTTCTCAGGTAAACTGGCAAAACAAAAAGGCAGCAATTCCTGCATGACGATATCTCACTATCCAGTACTCCAAATAACAAGCCGCTTAGTTTGCCAGAATAAGGACGAGCAGGCGAACGTGACGCTGGTGGTCTGATGTCTTTACCATATCATGTCAACGAGCAACAGCCATGAACGGTACGCGTGCATTTTATAGTGGATCATATATATACACCAAAGTCAGCCAAAAAAAGGAGCGATTCACGCACGACGATATCTCACCATCCAGTACTCCAAATAACGAGCCGCTTAGTTTGCCAGAATATGGACAAGCAAACGGACGTGACGCTGGTGGTCTTATGTCTCTACTATATCATGTCAACGAGCAACAGCCAGGAACGGTACGCGTGCATTTTATAGTGGATCATATATATACACCAAAGTCAGCCAAAAAAAGGAGCGATTCACGCACGACGATATCTCACCATCCAGTACTCCAAATAACGAACCGTTTACTGCAGTAGAATAAGGACGAGTTGACTGGCGTGACGATGATGGTCTGGTGTCTCTACCATGTCTTTACGACGAGCAACAGCGGTGAAAAGAACGTGCGGATTATATGTAAGAGGTGCTTCAAGCAAGTCATTAGTACGACAAGGATCCAGACATAGCAATATCCCGTTGTTTTATAGATGCGGATGGGAAGCATATGATAGAGATAATCGTAGCAAAGCTGGTTTTTTCTGATAGCTCTGTGGTGGTGACGCTTATGTGCAGGTAAGGAAGTAATAGAGAGTGCATAGTATTAGCATGCTTTAATAAATTGGTATTTTATGAAATGAGATTCTGTTGTCGTGCATTGTGCCAAAGGTGCTCTATACTCTTTAAGCTGAAAAATTCATTAATGGATGTGGCATCTGCGGTTATTATGCATGTTTGTATACTATATTCCAATCTGTGAAAGTTCCTGGAGCATACCCCCGGTATATACAGCGATGCTGCTGTAAATTGCCTTTGAAAGCTCAATAATAACGAGTGACCCCGATGACCCCGAGATTTCAGTTTATGTGGCGACGGACGACCCCGGCCTGACCCCGGGTTTTGGCCAATCAAATTACCAGAACATGATGAGCAAGACAGCAAAATAGCAGAAGGGCCAGCTCCACTTTATTTTATTTTTGCTCCATAACACACTCGTTTACTGCCGTCTTTATTCGAAACATATTGAAGCAAGTGCGCTTGCAAGAAAAAAGGTATTTAGTTTTGAGATGTCAAGTTGTTAAAAGAAAAGTGGCATTGTGATGGCGAATGATCTATTCTCTTTTACTACTAGTAAATGTGAAACTATAGCCATTTGACGAGGGCGGCAACCTACTCCAACAGCAACAGCAGCACCACAGCAACAAGCCTTACAACCAACGGAAGCTACGGCACTTGATAATTATAACGGTCAAACTTAATTACAATAGCGTTGACTTGCCTGCATCACAGCATGACTACAACATCAAGGTAGTAAAACTTGCACAAGTCTTTACAGCACAGATCACTTTTTTTCTTAAGTTAAACGAGCACGCGAGTAACGAAATGACAACGTCGATTATGTTGCATTAGCTTTTGTTCAAGTAGCATCAGCCATGGCGGTGCGTGTTTATTTCTTTTTTTTTTAATCAGGCAAATTGGCAGACAAAAGCATCAGCTATTCC